ACAAATCCAGTGGTTGCTGTATGGATTTGATCATAGAACAAGATAAGCCCTTTTGCATCAAATAAAATATATCGAACAAAGCTTTAAGTATAGAGTTGAACTTACTCAAAGTTGTATGGTAGCCATATAGTAGAGTGTTGTTGGAGAATTTTGAAAGCTAGGGCAATGTATGCCGCAACCTTAAGGGACTCTTCCCTTAGTTTCGTCGTACGGATGTGCTCTTTCTCCCGAAGAGTCTTTCTAGCAGCTAGCTCTTTGGCATCCAGTTCCCACTGTTTAGGGTAATTAAAATTTGTTTGTGCTATAGCTTGAGGATCAATATACCCGGCTTTCACACTTGGCATTTGTTTGACAATGTGCACTTGCATTCTACAAATCATGACGTGGGTTAGTTAAAACAAAATTCAAAGATTACATTTATATCATATTGGGAGGATAAGGACTTACAGGCACCACATGCAAATTAGATTCATCTCCATTTCTCCGAGGTGAAAGCATGTCTGCATGTCATTGAAGTCAAAGACAATTTTCCCGACTGGGCTTCCAAATGTGCCGGTGGGGAAGCATGCTTGTATGAGGTCCATACTCGTTGGGAGAACACGCAAGTACCAATCATGGAACCTTCTCATTCCAAGTGGTAGGCGTTGGATGTCCCGGTTTGGTAGGAAGGGCTTGCCTCTTTCATATATTTTCGGGCAATCCTTTGACCATTTGATGGCATCAACATTTGGATACTGCTTTGCTATTTGGTGGAGTTTGCTAGTGACAGCCTCCTCAGAACCCCGTGATGTGACTTTTTTTAACTTGGTTCTCGGGCTTGAACTGGTCATGGGAATACCACTTGGACACCGACGAGAAGTCTTTCATCGGAACATAAATTGGTCTTATGGTGATTTGATGCTTCTTTCGAAGTTCCCATTCAGGCACGTCCTCATCTTCTTGTGCGTCACCTTCTTCAGGAGGCACTCGTTGTTCATGTATCGACTGTGCTTGTTGAGAAGACTGTGGCATCTCATCATGCACTTGCTCGGTACGAGCTGGAGAAGGTTGTGGCTTATCAGGCACATGCTCGCTAGGAGGTGGGGAAGAATGTGGCATCTCAGGAATGTGGTGGTCACGAGATGGTGAAAATATCTCCCCGACCTCAACAACTCGCTCCAAATTTGGGAGAGGGGGATGCGGTGAAGAAGCAGTCAATATAATTTCCCATTTGTGCCAGAGGATGAACTGCCCCATAACGTCTTCGAGTAACACCAGCCCCTCGGGAGTTGCGTAGTCTATCCTCCACTGCATGAACTCAGGCTTCACGGTATGCACCTCGACCCTAGTGTAGTCCGACGATATCTTATTTTTGTGGTGTAAGCCACCGGGAGGATGTGCCACACCCATTGCCACCTCCATCACAATGTTCTGCCGGTCGTTGAGAAACACCAAGGTGCAACTAATTGGTTCCCGTATGCGATCGACGGGGGTTGTGGCTGTAGTGGAATCTTGGCTGCTAGGAACTTTCGGAGGGCTACCAACTAATGCCAGTTCTCCTGGCGGCGTCATTATTATCCATGGATCCGTAGACAGTCCTTGCTCTTTCAGCGCCTTCGCAACTAGAGCCTTCACTTGGAGCTCAAGATTAGTCTCCCGGTCTCTGCCATGTTTCTTGTACATGTGCCTATCCTCTTCGAATCCTTGCTTCTAGGTCGTCCTTTTCCCTAGCCCCCTAGTGCGGCTGGTGTGCTCCTTGTTTCCTAAGCCATGGCTATGCTCGTCCCTCTCTCTGAAAGGATTGAATGAGCCCTTTTCCTTGTCTTCAGCATATTTCAGTATCCTTGAAACTGCCTCTTGGGTCTCCGGCTTATCAAACTTAAGATTAGTGCCGGATGATTCTGTACTCCTCGCATATATCTAATTCCTTGAGCGTACCTTCAAATTCGTCACATCGATATTCCCAGCAGCTGCGGCCTCTTCGTCTATCTTCCTAAACTGCTCTTCCTTGGCATAGTAGCCACCGGGGCCTAGATGATGGTGGTGTTTGTTCCTCTTCGCCAGTTCGGTGTTACGGGCACTGAGCTCCAATGCCTCCGGTGAAGTCTTCTGAGCCACGAGCTCCTCCCATTGACTAGGAGTTATGTTGCCAAACTCGTTAAAGGGAGTTAACCCCTTTTGGATATACTTCTTTTTAAGCTCTGACCTCCAACATCGAAATGACTCTCCCATCATCCTGAAAGCATTTTTTTACCAGTTCGTGCTTACCCTCTGGAAATCTAAAATTGAGCTTCAACTGCATATCCCATAGTTCATCCTTTTTGTTCTTTGGTACCTCTTTCCAGTTAGGGATTGTTGGGTTCAATTTATCTCTTACTAGGGTCCCGATCGCATTACGGAATCATCCTCTTAATTCCTTCGGCTCAAGGATCTCCCCTGCTGGCCCGACCTTCGTTATCATATAGCATGCCTTATTTGGATATTGAGTTGCTTTTCTATCCCCTCGTTTCCTCTTAGGCTTGGTAGTCGTGGTTGTATCTTGAGGTTGTGGAGCAGAGGCATCGTGATCCGTCTCTATGGCTGTTGCCTCTGCTCTCCTTTCCTCTACTCCGTCTTGTCCAGCGAGATGTCGCGGACGTCGACGTTGTCTTTTTCGAGTTTCAGGAGGAACCTGTATATATGACAAGTTAAAGTGTTAGCAGAGGTAACATAGCCAAAGCTTTAACAAAATTTACAAGCTAAGGCTTTTTCCCTACCTCCTCGTTCGGGTCAAAATCCTTGTCCAAATCTTCCTCCATTGGCCTCCTTCTGGCTTCACATGGGAAAGGATCCTCAGGACTTACATATCCCTCTTCTGAGTCATCATCATCATCATCCTCTTCTTCTTTTCCTTCAGTAGCCTCTCCTGCTCTTCCTTCTACTCCCCCTTCCTCCTCGTCACACTGCTCCTGAGTAAGCATCACTTCTAGATCCTTTTCTAACTCGTTATCGAACTACTCCTGAGTAAGCTGGTCCTCTAGTGCTTGCTCCTCATAGGTTGGCTGTTCATCATGCTCGGGGCATTGGGCTACACTGTCTGGTGTCCGCGATATTATTTCGCGCTTTATTCTAATAGATGCAAGAAAGTGTGCTTTAGGTACGCGAGAAGATATAAGAAATCAAAAAGGTCTATAAACCAAAGTAGTCCTATAAAACAACAATATATAAAAAAACGAGTAGTAGCAGTAGTAGAGGCCTCAGAAACATGTCAATCATCATCTGATCTTGAACTTGGAGCATCAAGGCATCATAATAGAGAAGAGAGGAGAAGGTAATGTAGGGACGGCTGCTAATGATGCCAAGTTCCTCACAAATTCTTGATCATCAGCTCATATTCCATATTATGTATGGACTTAGACAATTTCATCATCGGCAAAACAAAGGAGAGGAGAGGAGAGGAGAGGAGAGATTTGGCAAAAAAAAAGCAACAACTACTTAACAAACATAGAGAGGAAAAGGTGTAAAAAAGCTGCTACTGCTTCCCAAACATAGAGGATAGGAGTTGATTGCTGCCACATGGTTGGAAGACCCCTGCAGATCAAAATCTGGTAACTTAGAAGTGGTAAATAATGGATTAGAGTAGAGGACGAGTAATAGTAGATAGAGTAATAGCAGAGGAATAGAGTAGCGGAGGAGTAGAGAAGTGTAGCAGCCAGTAGTTAAGAGCAGCAGCCACTTAGATACAGTAGTTTTCATAGATAGAGTAGTAGAAGTAAGCCACTTAGTAGTATAGGGAAGTGAGTAGAGTACCAGCCAGTAGCTAGGGATGAGAGTAGAGTAGCAGCCAGCTAGTAGTAGTAGGAGTAGCTAGCAGTAGCAAGTAGAGTAGTAGTAGTTTAGTAGAGTAGTTTAGGACAGTAGTAGGACAATAGTATAGCAGTAGAGTAGTAGTAGAGTAGAGAGTAGTACAGTAGTAGTAGAGTAGAGAGTAGTTGAGTAGTAGTAGAACAGTAGTATAGCAGGAGTAGTACACGAGCAGAGCCACTTAGTAGTGCAGTTGAGAGTAGTAGAGTAGTAGTAGGATAGTAGTATAGCAGCCGCCCCTACAGTAGTATAGGGAAGACTTAATTCAGATTTGATGTTTCTATTTGCAGTTTAGTAAGTCAAACTGGTATTAGCAAATTGATAGCTATAGATTGAAAGGAGAGAGAAAAAATATGAACAAAGAAGTGGCTCACTGGGTGGCATCCCTCCTAAAAAATTGATAGTTGACTGTGACCTAAACCGAACCCAAGAAAATATGACAAATATAGTTAACAGTAGAAACCGGTCAATGTGAAAACATTGGAAATCACTTACTGCTATAAGCAAAAGGCAGAAATTAAGAGCACATCATTCTTTGTTTATTCTACTACAAATCTAATCAGAACCAATGTAGGATACATCAATATTCTGGAAAGTTAACAATGTGATAAGTCTGTGTGCTAAAAAGTTCACTGCATTAAATGTATTGAATCCACCTAAGGTATTTCTTTTTTAGAAGCTACCAGCAGTGGTACATGTAATGCCTTGATAACCCAAATCAAAATTGGAGTTGTTTTGTAGGATAAATTTTCAGTAGATGACTGTCAATATGAAAGTAAACACACGAGTAATTAAAAGTGCAATTTCCTTGTGCAATCAGCATTTGTTCATAATAAAAATAATACCATGTGCCAACAACTAAAAAGTTCTTGAAGTCTATAAACTATTCTATCACTTGATCGACTCAAATGTCTCAGTATCTTGTTTGTTTTGAGTAATAGACAAATTGTGATGTTACCATCTGATACATGTCATTGTGACAGGTCACCAGAAAAACATCAGATCATGTTGATCTATTGAGAGAGCAACTGAAGATCCTATCAGGGGAGGTTGCATTACATAAAAGTGTTCTAAAGCACAACGAATGGTCATATCGAGGTAATTTCCCTTTCTGCACATTCAATATGTTATTGTAGGTTTTCTTGTTGTTGAAAACCATAAACTGTATACATTTGAAGATGGAAATGAAAAAGGTCAGTGACGAGATTAAGGGCAAGCAGCAGCAGATAGCACATTTAGAAAGGCAGATTAAGGGGAAGCTTGACCAGTTAGAACATACACCGGTATATTATCTGCAGTCAATTAGTTTTCAATTACTTTGTCTCTGAATTGGTACATATTAAACTGTTGCAATGATTTTCCAGGCTCACACTAAGCTACTGGAGCAGGTCAATGAGAAAGCATTGGAACTTGAGGTACCTAGAGTAGAGAACTAAAGCCCCCAAATGCTTCATGTTTAATTTTCTCATTCTTGCCTGTCCACCACACAACTAATTAGGAGTATTTAAGGTAAATTTTCCCCTTAAGTGCATCATGGTTAATAAGCTCCCCTAGGATCCTTGACCCTCAAGAGGTGGCGAAGTGTTGAGGGAGACTTTTTTCAGTGCTCGTGTGCCATTCTTGTTTTGCCTGTATTTACAAAGGCTCCTTTTTTGTTTATTGCAGGTGAAGACAGCAGATAACAGAGTATTGCAAGACCAGCTACAGCAAAAGGTAACAGTTTGATTGTAAGTTAAGTTAACCAAAAAGCCCACAATCTTATGCCGTTCCACATTATCTTGTTATCAGACAACAGAGTGTCAGGCATTACAAGAAGCAGTTGCCCACTTACACGAACAGCTTTCCCAAGCTCTCGAAGCTAATGATTTATTGTCAGAAAGCATCATATTTCAGCAGTACACAGACATCAGCCTTCAAAATGGATCGCAAGTTCACAAAGAAAATCCAGCATCTATAGATGTCTCTGATGAACTGCATCAAAAAGCAGAGCAGGTTTGCCTTTTTTCTGCACTATGGTTCAAAATCATTTTGGTCAACTGTGGTTTTTTGTTGTAGTAGCTATTGTGCTAGACTTGAGGAATTTGAATTGGTCCAACATGACTATGTGAGACAGTTTGAGTATTAGTATTATAAGTTTTTACATGTAACTAGCCTAATTTCTATGTGTTGCTAATGGGAAGCTGTAGCCACTAGGTAGGTATTTGGCACATAATTGGATTTGTACTGTATCTTATGATAAGAATTGTCTGAGATGTTGATCATAAAATTCTACTCTGCTATATTATTCAGAGCTACTAAAGTGCATAGAGCAGTGTTTTTTTCTACTCTGCTATATTAATCAGAGCTACTAAAGTGTTCATTTTTATGAAACATAACTATTAGTTACTAGTTGTCGCATCATCTTTGCTTATCACATGTTTGGAGTCAGTGGCAATGGCCTTCTTCACTTCCATGGGTGGCCTTATGTCTTTAGGATTACAAACTAATTTTATTTGGCTTATGAGTGTTATTGTTTTAAGCATTTGTGTCCTGTAATAATTTTGGTCTGATTTCTCGCTTGTGAGGATAAAGCTTGTCTGCCATTATCTAAAAAAAGTTGTCTTGCCAATTGAAAAATTTTCTAAGCACGTTTTTTCATGATCCATTTATCTAATACCATCACCCCAGTTGACTGATTTGTTCAATTATATCACTTATTTTGGTATTTTAACTGATTCGATTAACATTATCTATTCTCTCGTCAGTCAGATATTGATGAACTGAAGCAAAGATTGTGTGAGCTCACTGAGGCCAAAGCTCAACTAGAGGCCCACAATCAGAAGCTGCAAGAGGAAAGCATGTACGCAAAAGGCCTGCCCTCGGCTGCAGGCGTGGAACTGAAATGGGGAGGTCACCAAACTCACAACGAGAGGCTCGCGAACGAGCTGGCTTTAGCAAGAAATTCAACACAACGATAGAGCAGATAGCGGAGGCATACCTGGAGCAGAGAGCGGGGCGTTCAAATCAGCTCGCTTCGCCGGGAAGTCGCGGACTGAGACAGGACGCGGTCGCTTGGGGAGTTCGCACCGCCGGGAAGTCGCAGGGGCCGGGTGAGTCCGCGCCGCTGGAGGAAGTCACGTCGAAGACAGCAGGAGGGGATGGTGCCAGCCCGTCTTCCTCAGCGCCGGGAAGGGGAAGCAGGAGGGGAAGGAGGCGGGCGACCTTCACTGCCGTCACGGATTGTGAGTTCTCGGGCAAACCCTAGCCGTCGTGGTGGCCGGCCTGGGGAAGGCGGCGTTTCGGGGAGGAAGCGTGGTGGGCGACGGAGGCTGTCACAAGATGACGGCAGAGGTGAGAGGAAGCGGCGCGAAGAGAGCGGTGGCTAGGGCACGGAGACGTTGGCGGCAGCGAGACACAGTTGGATAGCCTGACGGCGTCGGGAGGAAGAAGAGAGCGCCCAACACTTGTTTACCCGAGCGCTCGTGTATTTATACCCAGGATGATTTGTAGGGGCGGTTCCTGATCCAGCCGCCCCTATAAATGCATTTCTAGGGGCGGTTCTTGATCTAGCCGCCCCTTTAAATATTTTCTATTTTATTAAATTATTAATTCTATATTTTTTATATCATAAAAACACAAAGTAAATGTATATAATATTTTGTATTATTCTATATATGCACAAATAAATATAAAAACAATTGTAGTCATAAAAATTATAAACATAACTCAATCTTGTCATGCGACTACAATTTGAATTTTAAAAATTTGAATTTTAAAACTTCGACTATAATTTTAGGACATTAAATGACCTAAAATGAAAATGTTGTAAACATAAAAATTGTATAACTCATCAACATATACAACTTTAATTTTGGTCATCTTGTTATGTGACTTTGTTTGAACGATTCAAAATTTAAAATTCAAAAAATTTCAAATTGAAATAATATTTTGAAAGAGTTAATGATTTCAGATGAAAAACTCATGAATACCAAAGTTGTAGAACTCATCAATATGTACAACTTTTATTTTGATCATATTTTCATTTGACCAAATTTGAATAGTTGAAATTTTGAATTTTAATAAATGGCAACTTCAAACAAGATTTTGAAACCTTAAATGATTTCAAAAATAAAAGTCGTGAACATAAAAGTTGTTGAACTCATCACTATCTACAACTTTTATTTTGGTCACTTCTTCATGTGCCAAAGTATTAGTAAACATTGTTCACAAATTTACATATGACTTATAGTTTCATGAACTATACGAGAGACATGTTGGTTTATGAACAATGTTTACTATCACTTTGTCAGATGAATAAATGACCAAAATAAAAGTTATAGATCTTGATGAGTTATACAACTTTGGTATTAATCACTTTTTCAGCTGAAATCATTTAATGGTTGAAAATCTCGTTAGAACTTGTCATTTTTTTAAATTTGAAAATTTGAATTGCTCAAACTTTGTCAAATGAAAAAAGGACCAAATCAACACAGTAACTTGATAGGGCATGATTCTCGAAAATTATAGGAAAAAAATCATCACATTTGAAGTTAGTATGAGGGAGAAAGACTAGTTACAAATTTTACCTAGAGATTAAAAAGAAAAATCACAACTGTTCATGATGATCAATGATGAACAAGTGTGATTTCTCTTTCTAATCTGTGGCTGAAACTTGTAACTAGTTTTTTTCCTCATACTAACTCCAAATGTGATGGGTTTTTTTCTAAAATTTTCTAAAATCATGCTCTATCATTTTAGTCTAGTCATCTATCTTTGTCAATAATTTTGAACAATTCAAATTTTGAATTTCAGAAAATGACAGCTTTAAACCTGATTTTCAACCACTAAATGATTTCAGCTGTAAAGGTGATGAATATAAAAGTTGTTGAACATATCACTATCTACAACTTTTATTTTGGTCATCTTTTTATTTGACAAAATTTGAACAGTTTAAATTTTGAATTTTAGAAAATGACAGCTTCAAACCTGATTTTCAACCACTAAATGATTTCAGCTGTAAAGGTGATCAATATAAAAGTTGTTAAACACATCACTATCTCCAACTTTTATTTTGGCCATCTCTTCATTTCATAAAGTGTTAAGTGATTTCATAAAGTTTTAGTAGTAATAGAGTGGATGTTGAAATAGATTCATCTAGATGTTGCAAAGGGTAGTCTCACACACATGCATAAATGTAGTCTCTCACACATGCATAAATGTAGTCTCACACACATACATAAATATATAGTCTTACACACATACATAAATATATAGTCTCACACGCATGCATAAATAAAGTCTTACAAACACACACTTACACAAACACTCCACGTTCAACAACTAGGTAGCCCGCTGTAACTACTTTCCCCTTGACACATTTTCGTTCCCATGGCAATATGTCTTTGCGTAGGTTCTTTTCCACAACACTGATCTTCTTAGGAAAGTCTATGAATAGAGGCATCTCATCGTAGTTATTGTAAGCTTCAACATCGTCCACGCCATCAACTCCGATAATGTGCTGTTTCCCGGAGGCAACCACGTGCTTTGTCTTCTTCTTCGGGGGAGGTTACTTTGTGGGTTAGACATATAGAAAACTTGTGCTCCACGTGAAGCGAGCACCCAAGGGTCATCTTGGTAGCCTAGATTCTCGAGGTCCAGGACTCTCAATCCGATCTCGTTCAGTTGGTGTTGTTTGATCCAGTGGCATCGAAACAGGGCCACCGTTATATCCCTTCCATAGTCAAGTTTCCATATCTCTTCAATGATGCCAAAGTATTGGATCTTTCACCCTAATCCATCGAGAGCCTCTATTCGAACGCCACTATTTTGGTTCACATATTTACTATCCTTTGCACGGGTATAGTACGTATACCCATTGATATCATAAGCATTCCAAGATGTCACTTGTCTCGATGGCCCCTCCGCCAACCTACTGATGGTAATAGAGTCTATGGTTTCTCCAGACAGTATGTTTTGGTCCTTCAACCATGTAGTTAGTTGTTGCTTATGTTGTTTCATGACCCAATCATCCGAACGACCATTTCTCTCCGTCATAATGATAGCCAAGTGTTCATCAATGTACGGTTGCATCAGTTGTGTACTCTACAAGACATTGTAATGCGCCCGACTCACCTCTTTGTAATCATGGTCGATGAACACTTTTCTACCACTGGTGCCCTTCCCAGCCAGCCTACCCTTGTGATGAGAATCAGGTTTACCAATCCCTTTTTGTACTTTTAGGTACTCTTGACAGCACTCGATGACTTCTTTAGTACTATAACCCTCTATCATGGAGCCCTCTAGGTATGGTCGATTATGCACGTATCGACTTAGAACCGACATGAACCGCTCGTAGGACCGAATTTCATGCAAGTAGCAAGGGCCCAACGCCTGTATCTGATGAACCATGTGAATCATGAGATGTGGCATTATATCAAAAAAGTAGGAGGTAAACACATCTCTAGTTGGTTTTGTGTCTCCACCACAAATTCATGTAGGTCACTCAGCTCTTGCTTGCCAATCGTCTTCTGTGAGATCTTCGAAAAGAAGTAGCACATGCGGGTGATGGCTATTTTCAAGAACTCTGGCTTAATAGCCCAGATTGCAATAGGTAGAAACACTGTCAGCATCACATGACAATCATGAGCCTTGCAGTGTGTTATTGACAAGTCCTTCATCGACACTAGCTTCTTCACATTTGCTGAAAACCCAGTCGGGACTTTGACCCCCCTCAGGAAAGTGCATATAGCTCTCTTCTCGTCTGGTGTTTGGTTGAAGCACGCCACGGGCAGAGTGTATTTTCCATTAGCCTCAGGTATCGGGTGAAGCTGTGGCATCACGTTTAGCTGCACCATGTCTTTCCGTGCTTCCAGACCATCCTTTGACTTGCTTGTGTCCATCAAGGTAGCAATGAGACTCTCAAAGACATTTTTCTACACGTGCATAGCATCAATGGCATGGGGGACATCCAAGTCTGGCCAATAAGGCAGATACTGAAAGAAGATCGATTGTTTCTTGAAAGGTACGCCTTCGATAGGAGGTGTGCTTGTATCTCTGTTCATCCCATCTGGATTCTTCTTTCCATAGACGACGCGTATGTTTTTCACCATTCTGTACACGTGTTCTTCGTTATGACGTCTCTACAGAGGGGGTTCAATCTCTAAGGTGTTGTCATAAAATCTAAAGAACAATTTGCTGTGGTACTTGTGACTTGTCTTTAAGAAGCGTTGGTTCCTTAGGTAAACTATCTTCTTGGATGCATCCAGGTACACCCATGTAGTACCATCCAAGCAAACCAAGCATCCTGTCTTCCCTTTGATCTGTCCAAACAAAGCAAACAGTGCGGGGTAATCATTGGTAGTAATAAATATTATTGCTCTACATATAAAGTCCTCCTTTCAGGACACATCATACATCGGCTCCCCATGCCTCCATGGCCTCTCCATTTCTTGCATCAAAGGCTCGAGGAACATGTCTATATCAATGCCTGGTTGTTTAAGGCCAGAAATAAGAATAGTGAGGAGAAGGTACTTTCTCTTCTAACACAACCACGTTGGGATGTTGTACATGGTCAAGATCACTAGCCAAGTGCAGTGGTCACTCATCCTCTCATTGAAGGGATTCATTCCATCGGTGCTCAAGCCAAATCGTACATTCCTTGGGTCATCGCTGAATTCTTTGTGCTTCTCATCGAACCTTTGCCACTGACTACAATCAGTCGGGTGTGCAATCTTATCATCATCCACCTTGCGCTCATCATCCCACCATGTCATGAGTGCGGCTTCTTTAGGGTTTAGGAAGATACGTCTCAAGCGGTCGGTCACTGGCAGGTACCACATTACCAAAGCAGGAATTCTTCTCTGCTTTGCATCGTTGCCTAATGGAGTATCCTCTAGGGACTAAGATTCTTGTACCACCTTTTTTGTACCCTTCTTATTCCTCTTTTTCCCTGTGGAGGCTTCGTCCCCACCATAAAGGTCATTGTTCTTGTACCGATCGGCCCCACAACGGGGACATTTATCCAGTGACTTGAACGTTTCACCATGAAAAAGTATACAGTGGTTGGGGCATGCATGGATTTCTTCAACCCCCATTGTCAAAGGACTTATGACCTTCATCGCTTGGTATGTGTTGGCGGGAACTGAGTTTGGTTGTGGTAGTACCCAAGACAGGAGATGCAATAGATCATTGAAACTACAGTCTGACCAGTCATACTTAGCCTTCAGGATGAGTAGCTGAAGCACAAAATATAGCAATGTCCAATGT